GAGGAGAGGAGAGGAGAGGAGAGGAGAGGAGAGGAGAGGAGAGGAGAGGAGAGGAGAGGAGAGAGGAGAGAGGAGAGAGGAGAGAGGAGAGAGGAGAGAGGAGAGAGGAGAGAGGAGAGAGGAGAGAGGAGAGAGGAGAGATGAGAGAGGAGGGAGATGAGACATGAGAAATGAGAAGAGGGAGATGAGACATGAGAAATGAGAGAGGAGGGAGATGAGAGATAAATGAGAAATGAGAGAGGAGGGAGATGACAGATGAGAAATGAGAGAGGATGGAGATGAGAGATAAGAAATGAGAGAGGAGGGAGATAAGAGATGAGAAATGGAGAGGAGGGAGATGAGAGAGGAGGGAGATGAGAGATGATAAATGAGAGATGAGAAATGAGAGAGGAGGGAGATGAGAGATGAGAGATGAGAAATGAGAAATGACAGAGGAATGAGATGAGAGATGAGAAATGAGAGAGGAGGAAGATGAGAAAGAGAGAGTAGGAGGGGAGAGAGAGATGTAGAGAAGATAATGAGAGATGAGAGATAAGAAATGAGAGGAGGAGATAAGAGATGAGAAATGAGAGAGGATGGAGATGAGAGAGGAGGGAGATGAGAGATGAGAAATGAGAGAGGAGGGAGATGAGAGATGAGAAATGAGAGGAGGTAGATGAGAGATGAGAAATGAGAAATGAGAGATGAGAAATGACAGAGGAATGAGATGAGAGATGAGAAATGAGAGAGGAGGGAGATGAGAAATGAGAGATGAGAGAGGAGGGAGATGAGAGAGATGAGAGAGATGAGAGAGATGAGAGAGATATGAGAGAGAGAGAGAGAAGGAGAGAGAGAGAGAGAGAGAGAGAGAGAGAGAGAGAGAGAGAGAGAGAGAGAGAGAGAGAGGAGAGAGAGAGAGAGAGAGAGAGAGAGAGAGAGAGAGAGAGAGAGAGAGTTGACCGTGTGCTGCAATTGGTTCACTTGAGGTAGTTACTGGGCAGGGATGCTGTGGGCATGTGTTGTGTTCACACGTTAAAGGGATACGATAGTACATGAGATATAATAAAAGCTCAGGTGTTTAGGTAAGTCAAAACTTTGCGAATAATCGTCCAGTACTTTATCATTAAATGTCACTTATATTCAAACACGGTAATTCATAAGGAAATCAGATAAATTATACCTGAGCCGTCGTCAAAAATCAAAGGCTTTAGACACATACAAGCATAATAAAGAGCTGCCAAGCCTACACGACTTACTTACCGCCCGCTTCTGGTGTCTGAGAAGGATGCCGAACCGTGAAAATATGGTCATATCTGTCTTCAATCGCCAAAATTCTAAGAAGAATTGGGCTTCTGCTGGTTATCGACGTCTACCTCAGACTGTCGAGGCTTACGCACTGCGCCCCAGCTGATCGACATTCGTTCGGATTCTCTGCCTGACTCCGGCCTCTGCTTAATTTCAAATGTTACTTGGATTTTTTTTTCCAGTATCTCATGGCATTTTGGGAACAAACATTAAATTTCATAGTTCGTTTTCACTCCTAGACTGTAATTTCAATATTTTGAAGGAATTAAAAATGAAGACAATCATTTGAGACAATACAAGCCGTTCGTCCATACAAGGTCATGGCTTTGCACGTACATTTCTACTCAGTTATCTCACTAACGAGAATTTAAGTATCCTTTAATATTATGCAATGGAAGTTCATCTCTCCACGATAAAAAGATGTGCAAATACTGAAAGCCCTGGAGTAAACACATACAAGCACACACACACACACAAATAAATATATATATATATATATATATATATATATATATATAATATATATATATAATATATATATATATATGTATGTATATATATATATATATATATATAATAAGGATTTCCAAAAGAAAAATAAATAAAAGATTTTGGTTATACATTCCGCTGACATAATTTATTTACTTCAGTACTAATCAGTTTTGATTCAGATTTGTGAATATCAAAAAATATATAATCAAATTCTCTTCATGTCATATCTTAATCATTAAGTGTGGTATCGAATGTTTCCTATTGTCTCCTATTTGTGACATAGCATTCGAGTCCACCTGTTGTATACCTGCATATCTACATTACGTTTCGGAATCACTTTTTGTACATTACGTTTCGGAATCACTTTTTGTACATTACGTTTCGGAATCACTTTTTGTACATTACGTTTCGGAATCACTTTTTGTACATTACGTTTCGAAATCACTTTTTGTACATTACGTTTCGGAATCACTATTTGTACATTACGTTTCGGAATCACTTTTTGTACATTACGTTTCGGAATCACTTTTTGTACATTACGTTTCGAAATCACTTTTTGTACATTACGTTTCGGAATCACTATTTGTACATTACGTTTCGGAATCACTTTTGTACATTACGTTTCGGAATCACTTTGTACATTACGTTTCGAAATCACTTTTTGTACATTACGTTTCGGAATCACTATTTGTACATTACGTTTTCGGAATCACTTTTTGTACATTACGTTTCGGAATCACTTTTTGTACATTACGTTTCGAAATCACTTTTTGTACATTACGTTTCGGAATCACTTTTTGTACATTACGTTTCGGAATCACTTTTTGTACATTACGTTTCGGAATCACTTTTTGTAATTGGAAACTGATCTCGCTATTTCAAGAGATATTTCACACGTCGTGACACTAAAAATAATTAATGATGTTTGGATATGCTGTGTGCAATGAATTAGCTGATTAGTTGGGAATGTGCCGATTATTGATGGTCTTGTTAGGAAAGCCCGGATCCGTACCATTAACGGGTCATCCTCAGCCCTGTTACCAAATTGTGCCTCTTGGAAGGTCGGGTAGAACCCCTACAAATAACATAAAGAAGCTCTTCCCTGTATTGGGCGTTTCCCGCCCAAAGTGGGGGAGTGAAGCAGCATGTAGCGTCGTAGACTACAAGACGGCTAAAAATGGCATGACCCTCTGTATGTTATCACCACGCAGCCCATACATAAGACCGTCATAGGCCAGACAAACAGCATGGGCAAACAAAACGCGCTTTGTCTGCCTCCACACACTGGGAAAGTTAATAGCAAGAGAACAGTATGCCTGTGACACTTCGAGGTGTAGCTTCTTTGTGACGTCTGTTGCACAGCAAGCAGAAATTCGTCAAGTGATCAGAGAACTCGCAAAGTGTGTGTGTTGAAACCATGTGAAGTGTAATATAGTGCAAGAATGAATAATGGAAGATATAGAAGAGAATATGTGTCAGATGTATTTGATATGAAAGCATTTAATGATTAAATTCATATGTGGTATTTCATAGCTAAAAGGACAAATGTAATGGGAATTAATGTAAGTCGTATATCCACACGTTTCACCATGTTTACTAGTAAAGTAGAGTGAGTGCGAGTTTCATTTCGAACATTTAGTCGAAGAGCGACTACATGGTCTCTTGCATGCTAACAATAATGGTAATGATAAGAGGAGATGAAGGTTAGCAATATTAATAATAACAGCGATAAGGAGAGTAAACCTAACGTTAAGGGAATAATGAGAATACGAATCCGATAGAATATAAAAAATTATTTGTATTTTGTGCGTTACCAACCACAGATCATTCTTGTGCCTGTTTAACGTTTTAAAACACAATGGCTATTTCACTCTTACAGTATAATAATCTGGAAGTGGTTTGGTGTGGAGGAATCAGCTCTCTAACGGTTATTATTTCTCTTATTCTTCCAACTATTTCTTTTGCTTTTATTATGAAAAAAATGAACAAAGGCGTCCTGGAGAAACAGAAAAATAATGGTGTTGGTATTTATTTTTCACTGTTTATTCCGAAAATATCATGCGCTTTACGTCGGTATGTTTTTCATGTATTTGCGCCATCATATAGTCAATTAAGAGCTTTAAGTTTTTTGTTCAATGATGTAAACGACGATGGTGATGATGGCAAGATGAACCGTATTCATGTTGACAAATTGTAGAAAAGGTATGAATGAGAATGAATATCTTCGCAATACAAGAGATAAATACATCTCTGGTAATGTGAAGATTTTCATTTTCATTCACAATTCTTCTGCAGATGATGACATGGTTGGCGTGGGTAGCTGTCAGCTCGGGTTGGGTTTTTTATCTTGGAAATAGTGGCAAGGAAAAAATAAACTTTTCGTTATTATGGGTAAACTGAGTTATTTTTGTAGAAAGTTAGATTTCTTTTGTGTTATCAAACTTAAGGGTTGCTTATGAGACGAATAACGTATATTTTTAGAAAACATAAAGCTGTTTCATCATTCTTGTAGTAAAAGAAAATATCTATTAGATTCAACATTTTATTTCAGAAACTATAGATTTTACAATACACAATTAGAACGTAATGTTGCATATTGTTGCAATAGTTAAGATTTCACGATTGACATTTTTTCTCTCTTTGCAAAAACAGCAGCCGTGTCAGTGCCAGTATCAGACTGGACTTCAGGTACCTGGGAGTGAAGTAAGCAATGGCCGCTCAGATGAGACACGTTTTCTTCCACGTCGCCCCCAGGGAGACTGCTGCAAGCGTCTATATAAAGTACTTATATAGACCTTGGACTGCTGCGCCCCGCTTCGGAACTCGGATCACGAATCCTCATGCTCGACGCACAATAGTTTTCGAACGCAGTTTTTGTGATCATTTTATTACGCACAGGCCGTGAATTTGGAGAGATTGTAATGATATATATATATATATATATATATATATATATATATATATAATATATATTATATATAATATATATGTATATTATATATGTATATATATATGTATGTATATATAAATATATATATTATATTTATATTAGTATTATATATGTATATATATATATGTTATATATATATATGTTATATTATATGTATGTATAGTTATTTTATATTATATATGTATGTGTTGTTGTGTGTTGTGGTGTGTGTTGTGTGTTGTGTGTT